AGCAGAAGCTTATTGGAGAGCCAACTAGTGATGTGACTAGTCATCTTCCCCCTCCCCCGCTTGCTGCCTCTATAAGTAGGGTCCCCCCAGCACCATCTCCGTGGGGGGCAGGGGAGGGAGAGGTACAGCAGAAACGGCACAAGTGGGGACTGAAAGCGTCCACTTGCGCTGCTTCTGCTGCAATTCTGCTTTTGAAATGTAGCAGAAGCTTATTGGAGAGCCAACTAGTGATGTGACTAGTCATCTTCCCCCTCCCCCGCTTGCTGCCTCTATAAGTAGGGTCCCCCCAGCACCATCTCCGTGGGGGGCAGGGGAGGGAGAGGTACAGCAGAAACGGCACAAGTGGGGACTGAAAGCGTCCACTTGCGCTGCTTCTGCTGCAATTCTGCTTTTGAAATGTGCAAGAGCCCTAATGGGGCTCTTGTACATTTCAAAAGGAAGCCCCTTCCACTTTTCAACTGTAGCAAGAGCCCAGCCAGACAGTTCAAAGGTGGAGGTGCTCTTATAAGCCAATTGAATAGTCAATGGAATCCCATTGACTATTTGACTAGTTAATTAATCTCAATTTAACATCCCTAGTGGAGGGAAGCCCCAGACCCCAGTAAGAGCTGGGTGGGGGGCAGGAGGCCCCTTGGCCTGTTAGGAGCCACACTGGAGGGGATAGTGGAGGGAAGCCCCGGACCCCCTTCAGACGCCGCAAGGCGGAGAAGCCCCAGGCCCTAGCAGTACCTGGGAGGGGCCCTCAGTTGCGCAAGGCAAGTTAATTTGTAAGGAGGGCATTGTGCTTTGAGGCATGGAAGCCAGCACAGGGGGAATCCTTCTCACCATGGGAACCTTACCTGTGGCCATGAACATTCAGAGCTGCTCCCCCAGCTGGCCCCTAACTTATCTTACTGATGCAGCCAGCTCCTTGTGGTCACTCTGCAATATGACTATCCCTCCTGGTACCCCCTCCCTCTCCATTTTATGGAAAGCAATCCTATTCCAGGCAGATCCCATTTTCCTGGCACAACCAAACCCAGACCTTGCTTTAAGTTAGGGTAAGAGAAGGCTACACCCCAAATTTGGTGGTTGTAGCTCTGACCATTTAGGAGGAGTTCTTGAACAAACTGACCCAGGCAGACTGAAAGACAGACAAATGCACATTTTTTCTAATATACAGTAAAACTCCGATGGTCCGGCATCTGACGGTCCGGCACTCCTGACGGTCCGGCACCATCAGGAACCCGGAAGTGCTCCAGGCAGCCAGACCATTGGAGCTGCTCTGCCCCCAGCTTCCCCGATTCAGCTGCTGCTAAAACTGACCAGTCCTGAATCCGGGAAGCAGGGGGCAGAACAGCTGGAGTGCTGCTGGGTAGGTCCCGTAGTGCTGCCCCTCGGGGCTGCGGGACCAACCCAGCAGCACCCCAGCTGTCCCGGATTCAGCCGCTGCTGAAATTGACCAGCGGCTGACTCCAGGAA